TATTGTTTCAAACTTAATAGCATGATTACTAACACGTCCTCTAAGACCATGAACAATAGGGCTTATATCATTTTTTAAATAATGTGCTTTAATCGCATCTTATTTTGTTTTTCCAATTGTATAGATAGTAAACCAGGCTTTTTAACAAACTGGAACTCCTTGAAAATTATAATTATTTGTTATATATTGTTTAATTTCTCCATGGTCAGTAGTTGGTTGTCGTATACTAGCCTCAAGAATTCCTAAAAAAAACATATTTTTTTCTATTGCTGACATTGATTTAATTTTACAAAATTGTTTAAGAGCCTCATCGTGGTTAATAGAATTATTAAAACATTTTTTTTTACAGCAAATCATTTGCTGAATTTTTGTTGAAAATGCTTAATTATCTTGTTCTGACATTCGATCTTTTTTTTCTTCATGTTCAATAAAGTTTTGTATTGAATTGGTTTGATAAATTTGTTGAAATAATATAATTTCTTGTTGTGTAAAACAATCAGACTCAAAACTCTCAATTTGCTCTATTATATTACTATTACTTGTCTGGTTTTCAACAAAAAGCGCTTCCTCATTTACTAATTCATTGCTATCTTCAACTGTATTATAATATTTATATAACTCATTAAACTCATTATTTAAAGCAGTTAATTCAGAATGGGTTTCGATAAAAATACTATCAAAAAGTACATTTTTATTTGTATTTTCGTTCATAATTGATAAAATAATAAAAACAGAGTACAACAAAGAATACAGTTTAATAGTAAGCAAAGTGGTATTGTGACTCTCTATCTATTGTTTCTATATTTGTACATCAATGTTATCATTATGCATAACAATAAGTTTAATAATACTCGTATATATGCAAGTTATGCCTTGTTTTATCTGTTTTTATTCACCACGGCAGATCAGTATGGTATGGGTAACAAAATAAGTATAATATAGGGTTAAAAGTATCTATTACACCTCATATCATACTAATCTAGTCACCTATACCATACTAATTTGTGAAAATCCTGTGTATTTGTTCTTCCTATACTTGCAAAAAAAAAAGACTTACTGTTAGTTATACACAAAGAATTACTATATCATGGAATTTGAACTTGTTACCTTTAGTTCGTTATTAATAGATCAACGTGATGCCCTTGCAAAGTGTATTTGTTAATATTTTTCACCTTTTAATTCAAGAACATCAGTTTAGGATCAAAAGATATAGTTGAATCCTTGCAAAGTGCATATTCTGATACTTTTTTTTTCTAATCTAGTTATTTTCTGACATTCGTAGATTGACCAAAATTCAAAGAAATCAGTAAGAATTGGTATCTTATATTGCGTTCGACCTTCAATTAATTCATTCGAATAATGCTATTTACATAATGGTAACTTCAACATAATGCTTATATTAGTGATTTGGAATACGCAATATCAATTAATAAAAATTAGATAAAAAGTTCAAGGAAATTAATAGAAGCTCACCATACATAGTTCTCAAAGCTTTACAAGGAAATCATTTAGAAGGCATCAATTGGAATGATCATGTGGAAATTTCTTTAGAAAAGTCGTATTTTATGACTATAATGATTAGCAATAGTAATTTGAAAAAGTACAAGATCAAATATAACTGAAGGCACGACATCATACCATGTAAATTTCAGAAAAACGATCTTCAGCTATAGACTATTTTAAATGGAAAAAATAAAACTGAAATTTTTGGATGAATTTTCAACATTCAATAAAGAAATGAAGAATAATTACCTTAATAATATGAAAGATAATATGTGGTGTTCTTGCAAAATGTGCCTATTTATTTTCCTTTTTCTAATCCAAGATAATTAAGGTAATTAATTTTCTTCATAAAAAATATATCAGTGTGACATTCTTACGAAGTGTTCTACAGATGCTTTGTTTTTTTTCTGATCCAAATTCATTATGTCGAATATTTCAAGGTATTGTTCTTGCCAAGTGAATTCACTAATGCTTTTTCTTTTTTAACCAGACAAAGTTTATATAGTCAGTTTAGTATTTTCACAAAGTGCTTCCGCAAATACTTTCTTTCTCTTCATCTAAATTATTCCAAATAGTCTCCAAAGAAATTAGTGTGATTGCTTTTGCAATATTTCAGTGTATGTTAATTAACTACCTTGACAGTCCAAAGTTTACTATCACTGGCTGTTTTGATGAATTAAGGCATTCTTCGAATATCTATATTAGAGTATTAATAAACTAATAAATCTAAAGTCTGATAAAGTAATGCTCGAATGTTATTTCTTTAGTAATGCGCAGCTCACCTATTCACTAACTCATGGTTTTATATTGAATGATGCTAAATAAAAACTGTATGCTCTATGTGTTAGTAAAATTTGTAATTATCAATAAAAAACAGCTAAATTAAATACCTCAGAGTCAAATTTTGATCCAACTAAAGATGCAAGCACAATACTATAACTTGTCAGAACTATAAAAAACTCACTACCTTACGATAAATTATATCATAATATTTGCATTTCTAGATTTGACACAACCAATTTTAAAAATTCACATTTCAGTTTAACGCAAGTGTGACTTATTGATATAAAAAATTTGCTGTCAATAGAAATAAGGCGCCATCAATAGAAATAAAGCAAATTTATTAGAGGAATTTGCCTTATTTCTATTGACGGCACTGTTTAGTAAATGATCGACATGACCGACATAATCAGGCATAATCTGATCTCCGATCTAAATTTGATTTACCAAGGTTATACGAATAAAAAAATAATTTATTATATTTAACTTAAAATTTTATTATGCTTATTAGATATATTTTATAAGTAAAAAAGAATCGTTATAACATTTTCTATTAAATAAATAATAAAACTCAATTTTGAAAAAAATGTAGATTTGCCTTATTTATATTGACGGCAGCCTATATACTCTTGCCCTTATCCAGTTCACAATAACCCCAATACCCACATTTGGACCATCTTCTTACCTGGATTTTTTATCAGTTCCCTTCCTTACTTCTAGCTGGCAACCCAGAAGGGTTAATCTGCTCAGGCTTTAGCTACCTGAAGGATGTCTTTCTCTTGGTCTATACTTTCAGAATATATGTCCTTTTTTTTTGATGCAACAACCTAGCAGTTTGGCTAGTGTGTCCTATGCCATAAAACCTAGTCACTTGATTTCCTGATCTCAGGCTCTGGTTTGAATTCAGCCTCTTGTGATACTGTCAAAGATTATTACTATCTCCAAATTCAGGTCTTTCCAAATGAGTTTTTAGTTATACTGGTTTCTTGGATTTATTGTGCCAAAGCTTTCATTACTAGATAGTGTGACCAAAGTTACAAATTTAATTCTAGATCCAACCAATAAGCATAGCCATCAACTGAACACAGGCCTATTTTTCAAATATTGTCATTCATGGGATTCGAACTTTAAACCTACTACTTGGAGAGGGTGATGACTATACCACTACACTAAGTTACCACACCTCACTTTGAGTGAAATTTTTTTGATAACTATTTTATAAAATTCAATAGAATGAATTCTAACTTGTAGAATGATTTAGCCAAATTTTCATTGCATTCTATTAGACAATTGTTGAAAAACATTTAAGAAAATTTCTACTTTGGCAACTTACATACATCTATATCATATGGCATCCGGTATGTGCAAAATCACGTGATTTGGCATGTGCCCGTAAACTACTCCAGTATTGCCAAAAAAATTCTACAGTCATGTAATAATCAACAGCAAATTAGCCAAGAAATGCTTATTTTTCAAAAATTTGTATAAGAGATCACCTTAGCACAAACCCTAACTCTAATCTAAACAAACTTAAAGATTTTTGATACGATTATGTGACAGTAAAATTTTTATAGCGATACTGGGGAAGACCGTGCCTGTAGACCGTCCGCACACAACTGCCCCCAGAAATTCTACGTAGGGACAGAACAGTCACATGATATTATAAAAATAAAAATTTTTTGAAACTTTAAATCAAAATATCTTGACAACTTTGACAAATTTTTTTTATTTGAATTCTATAAATCCATATAAAAAAAATTTTTCGGATTTTTGTTAGGTAGTTGTGGAAATATCTTCGCTCAAATTCAGAGATTAAAAATTTGAGCGAAGATATCTCAACAACTACCTGACCAAACTTTCTTTATTGGAATTCTAAAATCCGTAGAATACATTGAAAAGAATTTGATTAAGTAGTTGTGGAGATATCTTCGTCCAAAGTTAGAGAAAAATCAAAACAATAAAAGCTATGCCAATTTTTTTAAAAACTTGAGCGAAGTATCTCCACAACCACCTAACCAAATCTGATGAACTTTTTTAAATTTGAATTCTATGAATTCAAAGAATTCAATAAAAAATTTTTATTGAATTTAGTTGGTGGTTGTGGATAATTTCACTCAATTTTTTTTAAAAAATTGCAGCTTTTATTTACTAAATTTGATAAATTTTTATTTTATTTGAATTCTATGAGTTCATAGAACTCAAATAAAAAAAAATCATCGAGTTTGATCAGGTGGGTGTGGAAATATCTTTGCTCAAATTTTTAAAAAAATTGGCGTAGCTTCTATTTTGATAGGTGTTTTGATTTTTCTCTATGAAACTTTTTTTATTTGAATTATATATGAGCTGAATGATTATAATCAGTATATAGTTTATAATAATGATCGTATTAGATTTAATCTGCTCTGATAATTAATTGGTTTGAATTAAAGGTGGGGATTTATTTTATTTGTAATCTAAATAAGTTTTTTTTATAAACAATTATGATTAAGTTAAATTATATAATTTTGAAATATACATTGTATATATAATTTATATGCCGAATGATTATGTAATTTTGTTTAGTGGTTTATATTACATCGAGCATGTTTTACTCAGATAAACAGACTAACATATACATTAACATATATACTCGCATCGGCATTAGTCTCAGTTAATTTTATTGTGATAATTACAATAACAAACATCTCATAAAAACCAAATAGAGAGGTGAGAAATTGTTAAGATTTACCCATACCACGAGCACGACATCGTTCACAATACCAGGTATCGACTTCAACGTAGCTAGGGCCGAAACCAGTGCATATTCCGTGAAACCAAACTTGGCAACCGTCGCATGAAAGCATAAAGTTTCCATCGTCAATTTCTGAAAATGGATATGGACAAATGCAATTAATGACTTCAGGCGGATCGGCAACACCAACGTTGGACGAATTATTAACGAGTTTTGTTTTTACTGACGAGGTTGAAGCTACAGAGGAAGCAGCGGGCGCAACGTCAATTGGGGATACCTTTCCGAGGCGAATCCTAAGTTTCGTTGCTCCAGTTGTCGTTGAAGCAGGTTTATCATCGGGTACAAGAGCAGGCTTTGTTATTGACTTTCCAAGTTTAACCTTTGACCCACGTCGAATAGCGGTTGGCGGTTTTGGCCGAGAAGAATTTAATGATACAGTTTCCTGGAAATCAGAAGAATCGACCATTTTTTCCTTTCCCTTTCGTGAAACTGGAAGTTTAACTTGTGGTAGATTAACTTCAGATAAACTTGAAACACTTGTCACAGGTATTTCATGATCACTACGAGTACGAGTTGTAATAGGAGGTTTTTTTGTTTGACCTTCTTTAAGCAGCTTAAGTGGACCAGCTGTAGAAGACGTCAATTTAGTTAAACTAGTTACATCCTGATTGGCGATCCCATCGTGACTTATCTCATCGATGGTGTGAAATGGAATCAACGACGACGGAGTGATTTTAAGTTTGCGTTTCTTTTTTGGCGATTCAAATGGTGATTCTTCTTGAGTCTGTACTTTTGGTGGTGCGATTGAGTTATAAACATTTGCAATATCATAAGTTGGTGGTCTTTGATCAGGAGATCTTTTACGGCGTGTCATTTTAGAACTTTTATTATCCTTAGATGAAAGTAAAATTGACTTCATCGAATTCACATTATCATCTTTATGAATTTTTAATGTAGTATCCTGAAACATTGCTTGATTTGAATTAACTTCTGGTGATTTTTTTGATGTGTCATCAGTCTTATCTTGGATTTTCTCTGCTTCTTGGGGTTTAATTTCAGGAAATGGTGGAAGCCACTCTGGAACATATGAAGGGCGCAATGGTTGAACGTCAGATTGTAAAATAGCATTAGAGTCAACAGAATGTTCGTTAGTGGCTTCGATCTTTAACCCTTTAACTCCTTCAGGTTCATTATTGTTGTCAACTGCTTCATTAGAAATTTTTCCATGTGACTCAGTATAAGCAGTATCAACTTGCATTTCATTGGGGTCAACTGGTTTGATATTACCTTCCATAATCTTAGGTTGAGGTAGTGGTCCGATGTACTTTCCAAGGATCTTGCCGTCAGTCTGTGACCATTCTTTCAATCCATCAATTTTGATACCAAAATCTTCGAATGCAGCCAAAACGTCGGTAGATGTTGTTTTCGTTCTTCCAGAGTTTATAGCACCTTCATGTGCAGATTTCCCCAAACACAATAAGTAATCTTTCAAGACATCGGCAAAAACTTCACCACCTAACTTTGAACTCTTTTCAAAGCCCGCAGATGCAAGTGCCTGGTGAACGCTCCTGCGCAATATTTCCGAGCAAAACCTATCCATTCTGTTTTATGGTTTGTAAACTATTAACGTTAAGTGAAGGTAAATAAAGTGGCATGTTTTCGTCAATGCTGCTAAGCGTGATCTATGATGTTGATCAAAAGTCTATGATCATGTGATATTGACGCCAAATTTTTATACGTATAATAAAAAACCAGTAATATGATTGGCTAATATTACAAAAAAATTGTTTGCCGCAAAAGAGATATATGGGCCGCAGATATCACCCATACCAACTATTAAACTATTATAATATAGCTTCACATAAAATTTAGGTGATGAAGTCCATATGTCACTATACACTTTTTATTATTCACTGTTTCGTATTGTAATTGTAGGTGCTTTATATTGGAAAGTCACCGTTTAACAGTGGCCTATATACGGGGTCTTTGCCTTGAAAATGACCTTACGGTACATGATACCGTAAGGTCATTTTCAAGGCAAAGACCCAATATATTCTTGGTCCGGCAACTATCATCCGGGGGTGCTATATTATAATATATACAGGGCATGATGATTATGGAATTTTGGAATTTTTCATTTTCTTATGTGACGTAATGGTCAAGATCTTATTCGGCCGCAGCATGTTGGAACGTAACACAAAAACCTCCCTATGCTTTTTTTTAATGATATTATTCTTACTGATTCTTGTGTTCCAGTACTTCAAGGGAGGTCAAACCTTTTATATGAAAATTCATTAGAGAAATAAAGCTAATTCGATAGTTCTTCGTGAATTTACTTAAGAGAGCAGCGCAAATATAACTGCGCTTGTTCATAATAAAAATTGCTCGGGCTGAAAAATTATGAACACAACGCAAATACCACCACGAAACATTGTTCCACCTCCTCGTCCGTCCCACAACGGCTTACCAAACTCGTCGCCTGCAGAAAGAAGCCCACCAACCACTTCACAGTCCTCCTCCCCCAAAACGTCTGAAAAATACAACACAGACAACCAAACCGTTGTTGGCCACTCACTCGTACCTCAACGTTCAGCTCCGCCGCCACCAAATTCTGTGCAAAAATCTGTACAAATGAGTAGCAGCGCTTCTGGTTTGAGTCACAATGGTAATTTAAAGTCAAACTCGTCGTTAAATTCACGTCGTGGGCCTCCCACCTCGAAAAAATCTGCGAGTTTAGGGCCACCTCCAAAACCTAACCGAACAACAGCCGGTACGCCAACGAGTCAGTCGCCTCTAGCTCGAAGTCCGTCCGCTGGTAGTGCTCCGACAAAATCTCCAGGGATATCAACCGATTCTGCTAACGTTTCTCCTACTTCAACCAAGTATTCGCAAAGTGGAAGCTATAGTTCCATTAAAGGCCCACCTATCAAAGTACACGGCGAAGATATTCAACCTATAACCAATGAGAAAGACGGGAATAACAGATCACTCAAAGGAGTACTGAATACTTTCGTTAGTTCGATGTCTGGTAAGCAAATTGATTATTTTATTTAATTAATTGAAGGATCAGGGTAATTCAATTCTCATTCTAAACGTCTAAATATAAAAAATTAACTTCTTTTAATTGCTTATCTTTTATTAGATTTGTTATCAACTCAAAAAAGAGTAGAAATTTCATCGCCTTATGATCCAGTTCATTTAACTCACGTTGGATTCAATCAAGAAACTGGTGAATTCACGGTGAATTTACAACTAATTTTTAATATATGTATTATCTGATTTTCTTTAAAATACTTAATATATGCTACACACTAGGGCTTGCCAAAAGAATGGCAACAGTTGTTACAAGAATCCGGTATCTCAAAAGAAGATCAACAGGCTCATCCTCAAGTATATATATATATATCTCCATATAAATTTTTTTTCATTTTTTGATAAATCACCCTTTTATGTTAAATAATTAAACATTATTAATACATAGGCTGTGTTGGAAATTGTAAAATTTTATCAAGATAATACAGCTGGAGGAAAAAATTCGATTTGGGAGAAATTTAATAACGTCCAACTCCCAAATCAATCTCCACCATCTAGCCTACCAACTTCACCACATAATATGGTGGATAAACCATTTGAGAATCCTGTGAGTGTAGAAAACTTCGTAATTTTGATATCAGTTCGCTAATTAACTATACGGTGAACAATCATTTGGGCAGGGTCAAATAAGGATGAATTTCATTTATATTTCGTTTTCGAATTAGAGATCTGCACCAGTCCCTCCTTCGGAAAAGAAAAAGCCAAGTCCACCCGTTGTTCCTACAAGATCAACCAATGCACAAAGTGCTACGGTAGGCTGATTTATGATTTTTATTTTTAATAATTTCAATGATAATAAATAAATATTAACCGATTTTATATTTAATTTGTGACAACTTTATAGGATAAAAGTAACAATCAGCAAAAACCACCAAGCAAAGCTCCTTCACCAAAGCCTCCACGTAGTAAGTATTGCAATGATATAATAATCTTATTATCAACTTTATTTAATTATACTTACATGTGTTAATATCTTTAGACCAAGAACCTCCAAAGCTCCCTCCAATACAGCCATTGCCTCCGCTTGAAAGTCGAACTATGCCAATAACGCCTCCAAAACCGGCTCCAAAACCGCCTCGTCCCAAGGAGCCCAATAATCAATTACCATCACCACCACAAACGGCTCCACCTACTTCTAAACCTTCACAGCAACCAACAGGTGGTCCTTCTGGTGCCATTGTAAAACCACCTCCACCTAATACTCAACGTCGACAACAACGTAAACCGGCAAAAGATTCTACAGATGTCATTGAGAGGTTAAAGGCTATTTGTACCGACGCTGATCCAACTAAATTATATCGAAACTTGGTTAAAATCGGTCAAGGGTAAGAGTATATTATTTTTATTGGAAATTATATAAATATAGATTAGTGGTTTGGTATACTTTGACTAATTATGTTGTTTAAAACCAAGTGCTTCCGGTGGTGTTTTTACTGCTTACCAAGTGGGAACAAACATGTCAGTTGCTATTAAACAAATGAACCTCGAACAGCAACCCAAGAAGGACCTCATCATAAACGAAATATTGGTCATGAAAGAATCAAGGCATCGTAATATCGTAAATTACATTGATAGTTTCCTTTGGAAAGGTGATCTATGGGTAGTTATGGAATTCATGGAAGGTGGTAGTTTGACGGATGTTGTGACCAATAATATAATGACAGAAGGTCAAATTGCGGCTGTATGTAGAGAGGTAAGGTTAATGTTTGTATATTTAAATAAAGTTCTATTCAAATCATTCAGATTTTAATATTTCATATGATTTGAGCAGACTTTGGAAGGTCTAGCACATTTACATTCTAAAGGTGTAATTCATAGAGATATTAAGAGCGATAATGTTTTGTTAGCACTAAACGGCGATATTAAACTTAGTATGTATATTTCTTAAATATTTATTTATTCATATAGAATGATTTTACAATTTTTTTATATATTTTTTTTTTTAACTTTTAGCCGATTTCGGTTTCTGTGCACAAATTAACGAACATCACAATAAACGTACAACCATGGTTGGTACACCATATTGGATGGCACCTGAAGTAGTGACGCGTAAAGAATATGGTCCAAAGGTTGATATATGGTCATTAGGAATTATGGCCATTGAAATGGTTGAGGGTGAACCACCATATCTGAATGAAAATCCTTTGAGGGTTTGTACAACTTTTGTCACTCAACGATCAGTATACTTGTTTTATTTGTAAATTTATTTAGTCTATTTTAACAATCTGATATCGTTCAGGCCCTATATCTTATTGCAACAAATGGCACACCTCAATTACAAAATCCTGAAAGTTTGTCGCAAGTTTTTCGAGAATTTTTGAATTTATCATTGGAGGTCGATTCGGAGAGGAGACCAACTGCAA